GTTTCAGATCGCTGATTCCTTGCGCCTGCCATGCAACTGACAGTCAACACACAGTCAACACGACAGTCAACGCACAGTCAACACGAGCACCTGAGAATTCTCATTTGAAGCGCTGATTTGGACAGTTGCAGCCCCAACTCCAGTCTTAGGTTGGGAATTCTAAGGCTCTAAGGTTTCCTCATGCAACGCACGTGTTGCTTGAGAATTCTCAGGACAAGTGCTCTTGTTGACTGTCGTGTTGACTGTGAGTTGACTGTCCCCTGAGCATCGTATCTTGATTAGAATCAATATTTATTGATTCTGAGATATTGATTTTTCTCATATTGATTAGAATCAATATTTCTCTTGATTTGTTTATTGATTTTTTTTATTGATTTTCTTATTGATTTTCTTATTGATTTTTTTTATTGATTTTCTTATTGATTTTCTTATTGATTTTTTTGATTTGGACAACCCTGTCTGACATTATTTTTGCATGTGCGTCCAGCTGCTCAAGAGATATAGAAAGCAAGACAAGATCTCATAAATACAGTCTTGGAAAAGACCAGTTGGTCTTGGAAAAGGCCAGATGTCGACTGGCAGAGGTGGGGCCAGGCACCATGCCAAACCCTTTGTGGATTCAGGGATCCTCTACAAGTGCTTGGAAAAGCATGAGGGGATCCTCTCAGATCTGGGTGGGTATGAGCATGTCAGCATTACACAGGCCCCAGATCCTAAAGGGTTGGTGCACTGCATGCCCTTGTGGAAGGAACTGGTGAGGGTGGAACCCTGTGGAGAGATCCATGGCCAGCCCTTGAGGGCTGCCATGCTGTCGCTTCTGACTGAGAGGCCAGAGCTCAACAAGAGCAACCACTCAGGTGCTGTGTGGGTGAACCTGAAGCTGCAAAGGCTCACATGCCTTTTGGCTCATGTGCGCAAAGTTGCTAGGGATGCCAGCTGTTTGAGCCCCATTGCTGCCAAACTGAACAGGCAGGAGTACACCATGTTGTTGGATAGCTTAAAGCTCATGGAGCTGCGTCCCTTGGAAAAGGGAGATGGGGCAAAGGAAACAGCCATGGTCGTCTTGGAAAAGGCAGAGTCCCTACCAACAGGCTTGGAAAAGCAAAGCAAGAAGGGGGACCCACCAGCACCAGCCTTGGAAAAGGCAGTGAAAAACAAAAGGCTGAAGCAACAGAGCAGTGATGTCTCTATGGATGCTTTGGGCTACCCTGTAATGTTTGCAAGTAGCCCAGAGGACCTTGGAAAAGGCCCCTCCCTAGGGAAGCTGCCAGTGAGCAAGCAAAGGCCTGGGCACAGGCTTTTTGCAGAGGCTGAAGACTTGCAAAATGCCCTGGGGTATCGACCAAGTTCTTCAGCTGGGCCTGGCTTGGAAAAGCCAAAGGCAAAGGCCAAGGGAAAGGCCAAAGCCAAGGCAAAGGCCACTGCAAAGACAATGGCCAAGAAGCCTGCAGCCTTGGAAAAGGCTTGCAGGAAGCCTTGGAAAAGGCTGAGGATGACATGTGCCAAGAAGCCTGAGAGGGCATACCTGCAAGGCTCCACAGATGGTGGCAAGCTGCACCTCATTGTTGAATGCTCAGCAGCCAGGTGTGCCCAGGTACCATGGAGTGATCTCCAAGATCAAGGCAGCCTTGGAAAAGGATTGGCTGACCAAGGATGAGGCAAGGCAGCTCAGGGAAGACCTGTGCCACAAGCATGGCTGCTGAACAATGGGATTCTTGGAAAAGAACCCATGGTGCTT